TCTCAACCAGCCTGAGAACAAGATGGTTATTTGGGACGAGTCTGTCATCTTCTCGGGTTGCTAGCACAGGCAGAAACCTGTTCGTCTTGTGCTTGCTCTTATCTCTTGAATTCGATTGCCCTCCCCTCTGTGAGCACCTGAACTTGAACCGAGTCACAATTTGAAGAATTCTGTTTGGAAACTGTAGTTTGATGTTAATAGTAACAATTTATCAACCTTAGAAGGAATTTATGAAAAAGCAGTAGTCTGACTTTTGAGAACAAGTTATTCTTTGACTTCTCATGGATATTGGAAAGCTTCATTTCCTCTTGAAGGGAGTCCTGTTCTCTAGCTAAGCAAATTTGTCACTTATTAAAAAATTCTCAAGTTTCTGACTAAAAAAAAAAAAACTACCAAATAATTATACAGTTTCATGCTACAGTGCTTGCATGAAATAATTTTGGCACATGATAAAAATATTTTGCTGTAAATTTTAGGGTTTGTCAAGGCATGCTTTATTTTAGATGATCTTTTATAGTCATTGCTTACAGCAGTGTAAATTACATTTTATTAAATATGAGTAAAAATTTCTATATGATACAAAACAAATATTTTCTTAAAAGTTTTGTTAACATTTATTATTTGATTTTAAGTATTAGTTTTTTGCCTTTTAAAGGAGGCTATCAGAAAATTTGGTTGTATGATTAAGTGCATTAAAATTGTTTTACCAATTATTTTTCTGATACAAATTTTACACATGTCTGAGGTTTTTTTTTTAAAGAATTGAGAATTGAAGTTGCATTACACCAGAAAAAAATTATTATCTGTACTGTCAATTAGAATTTCAGAAGCCAATTTCAAATAATAAATTTTAGCACTGGCTGGAGCAATAGCACAGAGGGTAGGGCATCTGCCTTGCACGCTGCCGACCCAGGTTCGATTCCTCCACCCCTCTCGGAGACCCTGGCAAGCTGCTGGGAGGATCTCGCCTACACGGCAAAGTGTGGCAAGCTCCCCGTGATGTATTCGATATACCAAAAACAGTAACAACAAGTCTCATAATGGAGATATTACTGGGCTCGCTCAAGAAAATCGATGAACAACTGGAGGACAGTGCTACAGTGCAAAATTTTAGTACTAAGGAAGAATTGAGGGAAGAAACCCTACTAGTAGAATGTCTCTAGGGCAAATTAAAATCACTTTACTTTTTTGTAGGTGTAAAAGATGTACACGAACTACATGGATGCACCTGACAGTGTATGATATTTATAATTAAATTCAGTTTGAACTCTTCGAATTATAAACAATAAAATGCAACCACCCCTCCTTTTGTCCTCAGAGTTTTCTCCAAAAAAGTGCTGCTGAAGAGCACTAAAGAGATAGTACAGTGGGCAAGAAGCTTGCCTCGCACACAGCCGAATCTGGTTGACTCCTCAGCATCCCGTAAGGTCCTCCAAGCACTGCTAAGAGTAATTCCTGAGTCAGAGCCAGGCATAACCCTTAAGCACTGCTGGGTGTGGACCAAAAGCAAAACAAAACAAAAATTCTGTTAATTTTTAAAAATTAATTCTCGGGGGGGGCTGGAGTGATAGTACAATGGATAGGCCGTTTGCCTTGGTTCGATTCCCAGCATCCCATATGGTCCCCCGAGCACCACCAGGAGTAATTCCTGAGTGCATGAGCCAGGAGTAACTTCTATGTATCGCTGGGTGTGACCCCCCCCCCCAAAAAAAAATTCTCCAATTGCTATATTTTCTTTTTAGGACAGAAGAAAAAACCTTTTTTTTTTTTTTAGGACAGGAGCCGTATATAAAATCACATTTTATCAAATGTGTATGTCATTTACTTGTCACTAAGTGAATGCAGGAGAGTGTGTCAGTACTTCTGACAGTAGGCCTTATTAGTCGAATACTAATATTTTACTTTTATTTATTTTTTGCAAGGGGATTTTTTTTTAGACATAGCATTCAGAAACTTTGAGCTTCTTAACATGTTTCATATGTTTATGAAGAGACCCTGGCCACTCCCCCCCCCCAGTAATATCTCTTTGTTTTTTATTCTTGAATTTTTGGGTATCCTTCCAAGTCTTCTTGCTAGGAGGCCCAGGAGCTGCATCGGAGAGCCTCAGCCCACCTTGCTGACAGTTTAGTGCAGGAGTCAGAAGGTGTGGTCCTCCTTGGACCCTGCAGTGCCAGAGATGACTGGGGCTACTCTAGCGGGGGGGGGGGGGGGGGGGAGAGGCTTCTACTGTGTTTGGCATATTGAATACTCTCGGTAGCTTGCCAGGCTCTCTGAGAGGGATGGAGGAATCGAACCTGGCTTGGCCAGGCGGCGGTTTGCAAGGCAGACGCCCTACTGCTTTGCCTTGCTATTGCTCCAGCACCCAAAAAGAAAAAAAAAAAAGTCAGTCTTTGTGCATGGTTTCTTGGACTGTAGCCATTCATTTCAGCTAGATTATAGGCAACTCAGAGGGTTTCAGCAAGCTTGATTCAGTGGAAAACTTAGTTGACATTCTTCACTCTGCCACCATGATCCAGGAATCTAATTAAGCAGGAGGCTTTTCCCTAGTAACATGAATTGCCCAACTTATTCACATTCATAATTAGAAGAAAGATGGAAAGATGGAGCTCTTTGTCTGCTGACCTTCATTTCTGAGGGTTGGGGCAGGTTTATTTCTCACAGGTTGGGTCTTGTCTTCTGTGTCTGGGACAGGACCAAAGCCAGCTGTCCTTTTTTTTTTTTTTTTAGAGTAATGAACTTTCCATATATCTAGGAATCTCTATTCTGCCATTCCAAGAAAACTTTAAGGTGCAGTGGAGGATGTTATAGAATCACCCAATGAGGTAGTGGACACCTTCTTACCCAGCTAGGTGGCTTAAAAAACCTCCACAGCAGGGGGTTGCAGCAATAGCACAGTGGGTAGGACGTTTACCGTGCACGCAGCTGATCTAGGTCCGATTCCCAGCATCCCATATGCTCCCCCGAGCACCGCCAGGAGTAATTCTTGAGTGCATAAACCAGGAGTAACTCCTTTGCATCACCAGGTATGACCCCCCCCCCAAAAAAAAAAACCTCCACAGCAGTCACAATGAGTGAACCTGACCGTCATCATATCTGATGTTCTTTACATAGACCCAAAGGAGCAGTAATCAGTTTCGTCAAAGAGAAGTCTAGGGTTTCAGTATTTTTATGGGGGAAGGCCTCTAATTCTAGTCTTCCAGTTTTATGTCTGCAGAGGCTTTCTGTTATTACTTACATCCTGGAAAATACCATGTTCATTCCGGGTTATCGTATCTACCCACGAGGTCTTTTTCGTTTGTTTTTTTGAGCAAACTAAACTAATTTGTAGTAGTATGATGTTCTGCAGCCAGCGTTCATATAAACATCGAACATTAGTTTAGTCACAGGATGAGTCTAGAAAGGCTTTAGAGTAGCGGTTTGAGGTTGAGAGGAAAAGAATCATGGAAGAATAAATGGATGTGCCAAATGGTGAAAAATTCTCATTCAATCTTATAGGATCATATAAAAATAGTAGAATTGAACTTGGGAGAGGTGTATTGAAATCAGTATATTAGATCATGTACAAGATATTTCTTGACCTATTTCTTAGCTAGAAACATGGCAAGTAATGAACAAGATTCTTATGTTCATGATTTTAAAGTCTCTAGGTCTTGTCAAGTAACATCTCAAAATTAAAAAAAATCTCATAATAACAAACTCAGGAATTACTCAAGGCTGCACTCAAGGATCATTCTTGGGTGTTAGTCTCCTATTTTGTTACTTTATGTTCCCCAGATGAATGCAGTCTTTCTATGTCTGTCCCTCTCTTTCTGACTCATTTCACTTAGCATGATACTGTCCATGTAGTGCCACTTGTATGTAAATTTCATGACTTCATCTTTTCTAACCACTACATAGTACTCCATTGTGTAAATGTACCAAAGTTTCTTTTAACCAGGCATCTGTTCTCCCATTCATCTGGGGAACATAAAGTAACAAAAAAGGAGACTAACACCCAAGAATGGCCGAAATTGGTACCAGGAATCTTGTTCCATGGCTTGGAGGCCAGCCACACGTGCTAGGGGAAAAGGCAGCTCAGATAGAGAAGGGAGCACCAGATAAAGGGTGTTGGGAGGATCCTCCCAGGATGGGAGAAGAATGCTGAAAGTAGACTATAGACCAAACATGATTGCCACTCAGTGCCTCTTTTGCAAACCTCAGCACCCAAAAGGAGAGAGAAAACAAAGGGGAATGCCCTGCCACAGAGGCAGGGGGGGATGAGGGGATGGGTGTGGGAGGGATACTGGGACCCATGCTGGTGGGAAATGGGCACTGGTGGAGGGATGGGTACTTGATCATTGTCTAATTGAAACCCAAGCACAAAAATTTGTAAGTCTACAACTATACCCCCTGGTGTCTCACTAATAAAAATTAAAAAAAAAAAGAATCATTCTCGGCAGGGCTCGGGATGATACGGGATGCTGGGAATCAAACGAGGGTTGGCCAATCCCTGGACTGTTGCTCTACACCTTTTCATATTTAGTTATATTTGTAAAGATAATATCTCTCATTTACATATATTCGAAGAATCACATCTATTCATTGGCCACTAATTTCATCCTAACAATAGGTGAGCAACACAGACATGAAATAGTATTCTTGCACTTAAATATGAAGAGAGTGACGATGAAGAGACTGAAATGTGAAGACTACACAATTTGCTCATGCGTCAAAAGGCTATATTTGTAGGAATTATAAGGTCACCTGATTTGGAGGGGGTGGTTTTGGTCACACTTGGTGGTAACAGAAGGTCACCGCTTATTCTCTTCTCGGGAGACCGTGTGGCACAGGGAACCCAACTGGAATTAACCACATCGCGAGGCAAGTGCCTTGGCCCCTGTGCTAACTCTTCTGCCCTAGATCCTTTGATTTTTAAATCCATGTATTTATTTTACTGTGTGCATCTACTTGTTGTCTTTTGTCTTCTCCCTTTCAAACCACTGTATTCATTTTCTCCACAGGACTTAGCCTTCACCCTGGAAGAAAGGCAGCAGCTGAACATTCACGGGTTGTTGCCACCTAGCTTCATTGGTCAGGATGTACAAGTCCTTCGGATAATGAAAAATTTTGAGCGTCTGACCACTGATTTTGACAGGTAACAGATTCCATAGGGGATTTTTGCATTTGTTTTTATTAGATGAGAAATTGAAAGTGTTAAGAAATTTTGAAAGAGTTGTCAGCTCTGAGGAATATTTACCTGTGGGCACAATGATACTTGTTGTTTTTAACCATTTTTTATTGAAAAGCTGAGAGTTACGGTAGTGTTAATTATACTTTCATGCACACATAATTCCAGTACCACACCCTCCGCTAGAGAGCCTGCCTTCCTTCACTAGTGTCACAAATACCCGTCCCCGCCCACCTCCAAATCAAGCTAATTTCTAGATACAAAATCTCTAATTAAAATGACTTTGACTAGTAATTCCCTTACTCTATTTCCTTTTTATTCTACATTATGGTATATATTGAACTTAGAGACAAATTGATCTTTGCCCATCAATGAGAGGTAGCTCATTGATGAAGCTCTGGGAATTCCCTTAAAAATGTTTAGATTCCTAAGTGGCAATTTTAGGACTTTGTTTGAATATGAAGATAATTGTGACCAATTTTACAGGTATCTTCTCTTAATGGATCTTCAAGACAGAAATGAAAAGCTCTTCTACAGAGTGCTGATGTCTGATGTCGAGAAATTCATGCCCATCGTTTATACGCCCACCGTGGGTCTGGCTTGCCAGCAATATAGTTTAGCATTTCGAAAGCCGAGGTATGTGGACTTTTATTTTAGTATACAGATGGCTGTGTTTCTCATTTTTGTGGAATGTTTTCGATAGAAAATACATTGAAGGTGTTTTGATTTTGGGAAAACCTAAGTCATGCCTCATTTGTAAAACATTAAAAACTTAGAACTTTGTTTATGAATTTAAGCCATGGGAAAGTATTTATGAATCAGTTTGACTTTTTCATAGAAAATAAACTTAATTTTGGGGGGAAGAAAGTAATTAATCATAATTAAATTTGTCGAGGTATTATTCAACATAAATTATGTATACATTTTACAACTTCAAATTCATATTGTCAGTTTTTGTAAAATTTAATACGTCATTTTCTAAATCTAGAGTTAGTATTTAAGTAACTTGTTTGTTTTTCTCAGTTAAAATAGCACATGAAATATATATAATATATAAAGTATAAAGTATATACCATATGTATAGAATGTAGAATACGTTTTTCTACGTATATAGTTTCACTTATTATTTACTTTCAGTTGAAATAAATACTAATATTTTTAACGAAAACAACAACAAAACCCCAAGTTGAATATATTAGTGCTAATTAAACTTCCGGATTTAAGAATAAATAAATGTTTGGTTTTGGTTTTGTTTTTTGGGTCACAGTTGGCTGTGTTTGAGCCTGCTTCTGGCTCCATATTCAGGGCTCACTGCTGGTAGGGCTGAGGGGGCCATGTGCATTGCCAGGGATTGAACCCAGGACTGAACTTTACTGTGTGGGAGGCAAACACTTTACTGGCAGTACTAGTTGTCCAGCCCCTAACAATAAACAAATATTTGAATTATAACTTTATGCCATATGTGTAATATTCTATTGAAAATGCTATTCCTGAAAGGAGAATTTAATATCTGGAAGTTGCTCGAGCAGGCCCAGTCACGTCTCCATTGTGACAATTGTTACTGTGTTTGGCATATCAAATACATCACGGGGAGCTTGCCAGGTTTTGCCGTGCGGGCAAGATGCTCTCGGTAGCTTGCCGGGCTCTCCGAGAAGGGCAGAGGAATCGAAGAATCGAACCTGGGTTGGCCAGGTCGGCTGTGTGCAAGGCAAATGCCCTTACTAAATAATACGAATAGCATATATACTTTATATTATATTAAAATATTATATTTTATATACTATATATTTTATATAATACATATGTAATACATATTATATTGTACATGTAATGACTACGAATCCTCAGTGTTTTCTCAAAGAAAAATATGATTTTTTAGAATTTGGTTGTTAATTGTTGAGAATAATTTTTTGGAGGTATATAAATAGTATTTTTCATCATATAAAATTTATATGCATTATTGAAATGAAGAAGATATTTTTAAGAGAAAGTAGATAGTTGTCCGTCCAGTTCTTGTCGCATGATAGTTTGATGCACGGTTAGGGTGCTGTTCTGCCTGGTGGTGCCTTGGTGTGTGTGTGTGGCCACCAGGGCTACACCAAACAGCACCCTGGGAAGCAGGGTATGGAGGTGAAACCTGGTCCTTGTCTATACAAAGCATGCACTATACCCTTTCGAGCAATCTCCCCAGTCCTTTTTGTTGTTGTTGTTGTGAATTTCTGTGAATGCTTTATATATTTTGGATGCCAGCCCTTAGTCAGTTGTATGTTTAAACATCTTTTCCCAGTTGCTGGGATGTCATTTGTGTGTGTGTGTGTGTGTGTGTGTGTGTGTGTGTGTGTGAGAGAGAGAGATAGTTTATTTCCTTGGGTAGACATTCTGCTTTGATGTCGTCTCATTTGCCTTTTCTTGCTATGGGCTGGCTTCTCCACATACCACCACTGATGTTAAGGACTTGGAGTGTATCCTCTGTTTCCCGGTGCCTTTTGTTGAAGAGGCTTTTTTCTCAGTATGGAGTCGGCTTGTTTGTCGCTGATTAGATGTCCATAAATGCACATAAACGGATTCCCCGCCTCTACTCCCTTATGTTCTTTTTTTTCCCTTCCCCGAGATGAGATACATGCTTAATTACTTATTTTTGATTTTTGGGCCACACCTGGCAGTGCTCAGGGCTCCCTTCTGGCTCTGCACTCAGGAATTATTCCTGGCAGTGCTGGGGGACGGGATCGAGTGGGGCGGAGGGACCCTATGGGATACCAGGAGTAGTAAGCCTGATTGGCTGCATCCAAGGCAAGCACCTTACTTGTACTATTGCTGAGGCCACTGAAAATGTTTTTGTGACTTCTGCTACAGAGGTGGCACAATATCCTATATCTTAAATGCTGGGAATTCCGTGTGTGCCCAGAAGTAGTTTAAAATATTCAATTCACTTCTTTCCTAAGTATTGTATTAATTAGGGAAAATTTGGAGAATGGAAAAAATGCAGGCATGATTCAGACACTCTTTACATCAACATCTAATGATTATGTATGCATAATATATAAATCTTTTTACCAAAGCAGTAATATATATATACGTGTGTATATATATTACTGTACAAAGCTCTTAAAAGTGTAAAATAACAGTTCATTGAGTCTCTATACTCATCTAGAAACTTTAAATGTGGAAAACTTGAATGGAAACTTAAGTTTGGAATCCAAGAATAATTTTGTCACAATCCTTGCGGTATACTCAGGTGTTTTGATTTAAGTTTATACATGGCATATGGAGGCTTAAGAAAAATTTCCAAGTTTTATGTCAGGTGGTATTTGTAAAAATGCATCAGTTTGGGTACGTGTGCTTATTTTAAAGAAATATACCATAATCTCAGTTTCCATTACTAAAATTTTTTTTTCTTCAGTAGCAAGGGCTACACCAGGCAGAGCTTCTAATAAGAAAGGCAAGAGCTCTTTGCACCATACACCTAGATCATGTTGTAATATTGTGTTAGCTTTGAATGACATATTTTTGAGGCATCCAGTGAGATAAATGGCCAATGGTATAAATCTAGAAAAGAGTGGTCAAAGCAATGACACTTACTAAAGGCATGCTATGTTTGGAGAAAAAGTAATTAGCCTAAACAAAACAAAACAAAACAAAGATTATGCTTAAAAGTGATATAGTAAAATATTTTGGAATAATAGTGGATGGAATTTGTTAAAGGGGTAGTGATTTAACTTTAGTGTTAAGGAAATTTTTCTGCTAATTTAACTCTGACATTGGAATAAACTTGGTTATTCTTCCTTGTTGGAAATATGCATGTGATGTGGATAGATATTGATCATGTATATTATAAATGAATGTTGCACTGGGTGTGATTGTAAAAAAATAATTGTGTAATTTTAAAAGTGCATCTGTGGATGAATACTCCAGGTATTTGGACTATCTCCTTACGTACAACTGATTTAAACTCATTTTAGCACATTCTGCTTCCTAATTCAGAAAAACTTTAACCACAACTTTTTATCACAAGTTTAAGAATATTTTAAGATAATTTAAAATAAGAATTTAAAACAATCTGAACACGATATGGTGATGCAGTTTGTTGAAAGTCCTATTCCAGAGAAACAAACACTTGTCAGTTTGTACAGTCGTCACTGTCACTTGTCCTCCTGTCGTCCATCGATTTGCTTGAACAGGCTCAGTAACATCTCCATTGTGAGACTTGTTGTTACTGTTTGACATATCGAATACATCACGGGTAACTTGCCAGGCTTTGCCGTGCAGGTGAGTTACTCTCGGTAGCTTGCCGGGCTCTCCGAGAGGGGCGGAAGAATCGAACCTGGGTTGGCCAGGTCGGCTGTGTGCAAGGCAAATGCCCTACCACTGTGCTATCGCTCCAGCCCTGTACAGTTGTACTCTGACAATAATGTTTGGATTCAGCCTGTACTTATTTTAATGAATAAAACATTTGGTAATTGGACAGTTTTTCACTTAAAAGAATACTGTCACTGATTTTTTAGATGCCTAGATGCCCCCCCCCTGTTTTTCTATGCTTTTATATGCTTGATTATTTTATTGTGGTTTCATTAGCTTATTTTATTGTAGTTTCCTTAGTTTTTAAACTATAAACTATAACTTATAGTTTAGCTATAAGTTACATGGAAAAATTTGCTCTGAGGTGGTTTCCATGCTCCACTATTAAGGAGAAATTTCCAGGTTATATGGAAGAATTTACTCTGAGGTGGTGCTCCCATCCTCCACTATTATTAAGGAGAAATTTCCAGTTTGCTTTTAATTATTTTTTCCAAAATTTCCTAGGTTTTTCTGGTATAGGCTTCTGAAAATTTGAAGATTATTTTTAACCAGTGTTTTTGACTAAATGATATGCATTTAATATTGCTTAAAGAATATTTTAATTAGCTTTTAAAATCTCGGGCTGTTTTACACTTAGGTATTTAATAGTCAAAGTTTTCAACTCTTCAAAAATGATGAGTTTGACTAAAGTATAATTGAACTTGATTTTAATTCAATACTCTGTTTTATAACAATGTTTTATATTAACTGAAGTAAAAATTATAAAATATTTAATCGAGTTACACATTCTGTAATCAAGCACTTAAAATGAAGCACGGATGTTCATATCTAAGTTTAATATGTAAGAAGTAAAACTTTGCAGTTAGCAATATAAATACTACTAATATGACTGTCTGAAGAACATTTATGCTGTTTTATGACAATTTGTGTATTTTTAAAAAGCAGTATTACCTTATGAAATGCAATCTTTTGACTCTGACATGAGGTCATTTATTTTAAAAGCTGTATATGTATATTATGTCCTTAGTGGAATAATTTTTCTTGCCAGTGTGCCAGACAAATGCCTTATGTCTGATGGATTCTGTATTACTATAGGACTCTTTCCAGTGTTTTCCACCATGGAAAGTACTTTGGATTTTAGCTATCAGAAAAGCATTGATTAATTTACACATCATTAATTGGTATGCCTATGCTAGTTTTAAGTGAATTGATGAAGACTGTGTCTTAAATTAATATATTATTTTGGTGCTTTTGGGAGTCTGTGGAGCCTGGTAGCCACTCTCAGCGATATTTGTCTGGTATTGTGGGACCAGCGACTCTGTGCTCGGGCCTGGCTCTCA